TCGAGGACGACGAGGAGGAGGAGCTGCTGATCGGGGGCGCTGGCCCCCGCGTCCTGGAGGCCCCGCCAGGCCTGGGCACCTGAGGCTGGCTGTGGATGGTGGTCGAGGCCAGTCGGGTGGCAGAGAGGACCGGTAGAGGGGAAACCCTGAGGCCCGGCGGCCTGGGACTGTTCTCACACCGCTGGGCGCTGGGCAGAAGTCTGGTATCCCAACAGAGGATGCAGCTTCCTCTGGGAACGGGGTCACCGCACTTGGCCTGGTTCCAGAGCGGCCACCTCGGTTGCAGGGTGCAGGCAGAGGTGCGCTTGAGAGGAGAGAAGTAGGACCAGGGCAGTGCAGTGGGAGTAGCGGCCCTCACCCGGTGCACCACCTGCCTCCTTTCCCACCGCCCATCCGTGGGCTCCCTCCACACCCTCCCCCAGCATGTGCCTGGCATTTTGCTGGGCAAAGCGCTCTCCCTCCCTTCCCCTCAGCCCAAGCCGGCAGCTGTCAAGTTTGAAAAGAAGCCACTGTGCCTGCCTGGCCTCCTGCACCAAAGAGAGGGGCTCCGTGCTGCGGAGCTGGCAGGGCCTCTCCCACTGCCTGTGCTCTCCATTCCCTTACATGGGCACAGCCGGGCTGGCTGATGCTGGTGGGGCCCAGGCCGGGCCCTGTGTGCCTCACTCCGTCACCAGAGCCAGCCTTGCTCTCCGTTCCCATGGCCAGATCCTTCCCATTCGAGCAATAAGGCGAGGGGGGCTGGCCAAGGCGCTCAGGGAAGCTGACAGAGGCAGGGGCCCTCGCCGAAGTGTTTTCTTCAGGAAGAACACTGGCTGTACACGTAAATTATATTTCTGGAGAAAGGCTGTGTCTCCTCCATGCCTGTTTATTTACAAGCTCGGGAGCCGTGGCCCTTGGCCTGCTGGGGGTTCCCAGCACTCCCCACCTGTGCGATGGCTTTGCCCCTGCAGGCTCTGTCCTGGTGTCTCAGGTCCCTTCCTCCCTGCTTCCTGTTCTGTCCCACAGTCACTGTCCCAGCTCAGCCTGCCACAGGTTCCCAAGTCCTGGTGTTTACATATCCCGAGAACTGGGCCGACCTCGCTGTCCCCCACGGGTGCCACCTTCCCCTCGGTGACCACACTTGTCACCCTCCACACTTGCTCAGGGCCCTGCTCGCCTCTCTTTAGGCTGTCTTTCTCGGTTCAGCACTGCTTTCTCTTTCTTAAGGGAAAAAAGATTTAAGGAAAGGGAGAAAACTAAAACCTCCAGCCTAGAGGCCTGTCTCCCATGAGACCTCAGGCCTCTGTCCCCATGGCAACGAGCGCTGATGTCATATGGGCCCCGAAGGTCAGGCTCTGTCCAGTGCTTAGCTGGCATGCTGGTGTGAGCCCTGGTGAGGTGGAGGCCGGGCAGCCTGCTCCTCCCGAGGGAGCAGTCCGAGTGCCTGCAGAGGGTCTCCAAGGACCCGGCGCTTTCGGGAGGACTTGGGGAGGTCAAGATCGCTCAGGCAGGGTGGGAACTTCGGCTGGGGAGGAGCCCTCTGAGCCAGGACTGGATGGGAAGAGGGCAGTGCCCCGACCTGGCCTCCAAAGCCACAGGTGAGTCCCAGCTGCTCCAGTGGCCTTGATGAAGCCACAGCCCCGCTTCTCTGTAGGGAGGAGGTGGGTGCTCAGAGCTGATGCTGCAGCCCGTGTGTGCCCTGGAGTTCACCTGCCTGCCTTTCTCAGGACTGGAGCTGTTTCCTTCCTCTTGCTGGTTGGCTCCCTGTGCTCTCTCCACTGCTGCCAAGGGTCTGAGCTGTGCTCCCCTGGCCAGCTGAGGCACTCAGCGCCCCCTCAGGCGCTGCCAAGGTTGGCGCCCTTGATCAAGCTGCCACCTCCCAGGAAAGAGCAGAGCTCGACACCCGGGCGGCTGTCTTGCTGCTCACTGTCTGCCAGGAGCCAGCGCCACCGGGGTCAGTTCAGCTAAAGCAGTGCCACTGCCTGACTATGAGGACCACCAGGTGTTCATGAGGGGCCGGGCCAGGGGTGTCACGCTCCCCGGGTGCTGGAGAGCACTGTCCCAGGAGCCTGGCACTTCTCTGTTTCCTATGACTCCTCCCTTGGCCTCACACGAGGGCACTGACAATCCCTGGCACCAGCTAAGCCCACTGGAGCCGTCAGGCTCGGTACAAGACCCGCGCTTCCCCAGCAGCCCTGGTCCATCAGGTGGTGGCCCTGGAGGAGCTGTGCTTGTGCCAGGACTTGTGCAGAGACCATGGGGTGGGGTCGGCAGGGAGGGTGGGGGCTTGGAGGAGAGGGCAGAGGGGCAGTAGTTCTGTCCAGGGGCTGAGGACTCCTGACCCAGTGCTCATCTGACCCTGCAGGCTCCCAGGCCTTCGAGCGGAGTGCAGGACTGTCTGGCTAGGACTTGCCCTCCCTGCGGGTTAGAGTCTGCGGACAAGGGGAGTTCTGGGGTGCAGAGCCTGGGGCAGAGGCCTTCCCAGCCTAGTCCCCGGCCACCCCCTTCCTCCCCTCCCACAGGGTGTCACTCCGGACCCTGCCCCAAGCACCCCCTGCCTTAGCCGCCTGCCCCAGGGCTTCCCCAAGACACCTGGTGCTGCGGTTCTGAGGATGGATATTTATTAGCACACCCAGGCGAGCACACAGTCCCTGCCCAGGGCTCACGATCTACATAAGACATAGCACCTCCACACACGGGACACAGACATGGGGTGGGTGTCTTAGCCGTGCCAGGAGGCCAGGGGTTCACAGGTGGGGGCTGGAGAGGGGACTCATGGGTAAAGTGGACCCCAGAGCAGTGGCCTGGCGGACGGCGGACCGCGCCGGAGGACCGGAGGCAGAGGTGCTGGGTCCCATTCACTGACAGAGGCAGCCTGAGGCTGGCAGGGCCACAGCTACTCATCTGACCCCGGCTCCTCCAGGCCCTGGAATGGGCCGGTCGCTTGCCCTTTTCCCTTGTGCTGCGAATGGATCTAGGGACTCCTGCAAGTGCTCACCACAGAGCTGCACCCCCATTTAAACCAGGGAACTGGGAGGCAGCAAGGGAGGGACAGGTGGCTGCTGGGAGGAATGGGGGCGGACTCACTCCAGAGAGGGCACGGCCACCGGGTGGATGTGGGCCTGGGGGTTGGCTGCTCTTGGCAGAGGCCCTGAACTGCAGGCCCTGCCCGGCTGAGGAAGAGCAGGTGGTTATTGCTTCTCCATGGGCGGCCCAGAGGCGGGAGGGCCCAGCCTAGCTTCCTAGGCACAGGCTGGCACCTGCAGTGTGTCCTCTCTGGTGAGATTTTCCTGACCCTAAAGAGGTGAACCAGAGGTCAGGGTGGAGATGCCCAATCTGCCAGCCAAACCTGAGCTCCACTCTTACTGTCCCACTTGGAGACCTGGACGGTGCTAGGCAGGTGGGGGACAGTGGTCCAGCCAACCTTTGGGGCCACTTTGAGCTCGCTCTGTGTTCTGGGGAGAGTCTGAAGGGTCCCAGCGGTGCCAGGCTGGGTCCCACCCACTCACCCCGCTGCCACTCCCCAGGGGTGTCCGGGACCGGCCCATGGAGGAAACAGCCAATGCCCTGCTTTTCACGGTCCTTTATTGATCAGAACAGGCCTCACCCCAAACAGCAGGGCCAATTCCCACAAAAATAGGATTTTGCAAAGAGGAAATTCTGCTGGCTTACAGGGTGTGTGTGGTGGAAAACTTTTGTATGGTTCTTTTTTTTCCCTTCGACTTTTTTTTTTTCATTTCTCTTCACTGCAAAAATTCTTTTTTTGTGAAAGTGGGTTTTTGTCTTATTTTTTATAAAACACTTGCACTCAAAGACTCAAACACAACACAAACAGCAGCCACCAGTCCCCACCCCGGGGGGCTGGGTGCCCCTGGGCTTTTGTGTGGCTTTTCCCTAGTCCCT